TAGTTTAAATAAAAGCTCAAAATTTTGGCATCTGACGCAATTTCTTTATTGTTACCTAAATAGTATATAATTTAAATTACAATAATATGTTTATCATATGTTGCACTTTCGTATATATCGGCTTCGCTAATCTAACTACATGTCTTAGTATTTATAAAAGCATAGAAATTTTCAAACATAATAATAAAATAAAAATTCAATGTATTGACTGATTACTGTGATTTAACAATATTTGAAATGATGTATTGACTACTGTGATTTAACGATATTTGTAATGAATTCGGTTGCTTCTATAGATTGTTGAATCTTGTGCAGAATTTCACCAATTTCTGGACGTTTTCTCGGATCAGTATCCCAACATCTGTTATAAAGCATGGCATAATCCAAAGGTGTATCAGGAACAATCTTTTCTCTACGGCCTTGTGCAATATACAAGCCTATAACAAGCTTATTGGGGATAGTTGAGAATGGAACGACTCCACTTGTAAGTTCCCATAACAATACACCCAAACTATAAATATCCGATTTCTCATCGATTTTATACTTTTCTGTTTGGATAAAGCATTGAGGTTTAAGGTATGCCTGCATGCCTCCGATACTTAAGGTTGGAGAAATAACGCTGTTATTAATTTTCGATGATATCCCAAAATCTGTGATCATGACTTTATTATTATGTATTAGAATATTTTTAGAATGCTAAAAAAAAAAAAAAGGAATGAATTAAATAAATAATTCAGAATTAGTTGAATAATATTTTAAAATAGATATTTACGAGGTCTCTATGAATAATTTTTTGGTCGTGTAGATGCTGTATTCCAGAAATAATTTGCTCTGAAATTTAAATAATGTCTGCCCAATGAATTTTAACAATGCCATTATTTGTTTTGCTTTGTAAATAATCCCGTAAATTTCTACTATTGGCAAATTGTAGCACTGTCATAAAGTTTCTTGTCGTTGGATCTATTATTTTGAATATCAAAGTAGGCATTTAATTGATATTATCTATAATTTCAAGACGATATTACTTTACCGTTCGTAACTCCTAAGAACAGAATGATATTTTCATGATCGTTTACTTTAATTAATTGGCTTAACTATACACATAAAATAGCTTATTAGTTTTGTATAATGAGTATTGAATATTAGTAATCAGTAATGCATCACCTCATTTATAAATCATTTGTTATTCTTGGTATTTTTAAACCTTTTAAACACAATCTTCTTTCCAGAGTATGTTGCAGAAAAGACGACGCCATGCGCACCTTAATTGATATATATATATAATTTATATTATTAGATTATTATAATCATAAAATTATATTTATTATGTGATTTTTTAACTTTCCAGATTCCATTATACCTCTGCCGATTTCTCTAATATCACCAAATTTAGAATGATCAAAACATTCTTCCAGAATCTCCTGAATAGGTTTAGCTGAGGATGGTGAAATACAACGATGGTGATAAAGTAATTTCGTATTTTTAAATAATTCTAAGAAATTTTTATAATGATATTAGTAAAGAATGTGTAGCCAGCTTTAAACGGAAACAGTTGTAATATAATTTAGGGTCGGAACTGTCTATAATTTTTTTTCTAATCGCTTAATTACTTAGTTCTAATCCTTACTATAAATGAAAAGGCTATTATACCTTTGTTAATTTCACAATTATTGCGAGATTTTAAGCGATCAAAACTTCCCAAGCTGCAACTCGCAGTAAAAATATCCCATTCAGAATAATTAGCCTGTAAAATAGAACGATAAGCAACATCAGATATTACACCATCATAATCCATCTCAATAAACATTTGAGAATGAATAAATGCAGTAAGTTCATCTTTTTCAGCATTAGTAGAAAGAAATCTAACATTATAAGTTCCAGATTTTTGATAATATTCAAATGCACCATGTTTAACTTTTTCGACACCGATTCCTTTATTATAATGATAATCGATCTGATACATTGGATAATAAAGTAATGCTTCATATTCATCATTTTTAACCCCTATTCCATGTCGATAACAAGATTCAAGGTCGCTTAGTGCATTAACGTTTTCCTTTCTGCGGACTTTTGATAATAAAAGAATTCCTTATTTTTATTATTTTCGACCCCTATTCCGCGATGATAATGATATCCAACTCAATATATTAAATCCGCATTTGCCATTTCGGAAGATTTTTGATAATGAATAAATGGCTTATGTTCATCCTTTTTAACTCCAAATCCATTTCGATAACAATCTCCAACATCGAATGTTCCACTAGCGTCTCCCATCTCTGCAGATTTTTCGTAATGAATAAATGCCTTATTTTCATCCTTTTCAACTCCTATTCCGTTATAGTAACAATGCCCAACTTGATTTATTGCAGTAGTATTTTCCATTTCAGCAGATTTTTGATAATGAATAAATGCCTTTTCAACTCCTATTCCATTATAGTAACAATGCAAAACTTGATTTATTGCAACAGTATGTTCCATTTTAGCATATTTTTGATAATAGATAGATGCCTTATTTTCATCCTTTTCGATTCCAATTCCACGTTCAAATTTGTATATTGTATAAAAATTTCCCATTTTTACAGATTTTAGAAAATTTAATTTCATGTGTGCAGTTTCATTTATATTAACCAATTTTTGATAATCATTGGATTTTTTTATTATGCTCAATATGTTCATCTATTTTCGAAGGTCTAAGAGTCGTGAAGAAAAGAATATTGAAGAAAACAATGTAATACTTATATAATTAGTATATAAATAGACAGCAAATTAAAAAAGGCAGTTACGGATTTCTTGCAGTATGGGTGACACCTATTCTAAATCAATTGATTAACCATTACACTTATGGTGCACCGTTGTTAAAAGTCCGAACACGGGGTCAACCTCATACGTATTGCTTAATTTTCTCAATCCGCTCTTCTAAAAATCCTTAAGTTCATACAAACTAGATTTAATTACCTATTACAAGCCGAATGTCACAAATTTCAGGTTAGAATTTTATCTAAAACACGAATTTTACATCTAAACACTGTCAAAATGAAAAAATCCGTATCAGTTCACCCTAGTTGAAATTATATTAATTGGCTGTTGAATGTGCTGAATGTATATTGGTTTTTGACGACATTCTGTCATCCAAAACCAGTATACATTCAACAAATTTGGCAACCAATTAATATAATTTCAACTAGGGTGAACTGATGCTGATTTTATCACCTTCAACTAGTGAAGCTAATTAAATTTGTTTAGGGTTACCACGTCTTCCTTTCCCTCCTTCGATACAAGTTCAAGATATTATAAAAAATTTTATAGCTGCACGAAAGAATTCCAAGGCCCCTAGTGCCTTTTTTATTTACAGAAGGACATATACTGAATTCCTTAGGAATAACTACTATGATTTTAAATCTTTAAAGAATAAAATTTCAGTAATTGCTTCGACTGTATGGAAGCAAGAACCTCAAACTGTTAAGTATAAATATGAACAACTTTCAGAAGAGGTAGCCAAAGGTGACTATTAAAATTTTTTGATTAATGATACTTAGCAATATTAACAACGCAAGTATATAATATTAGAATTAATTGAAACGATGTTGAAAGAACACGAGATAGAACGTATTGATTACTTGAAATTTGATGATATCAAAGAAGTAGGCAGAGGTATAACTTATTAAAATATTTAAAAAAAAATATATATACATTAAATTCATATCAATATTTGTACATAATAAAACAATAACAATTAGGTGGCAATGCAATTGTTTATTCTGCGAAATATTCCGGAGAAGTGATTGCATATAAAATGTCTATATATACTGAAAAATGCAAGTTTGCTAATAAGGTGAACTCTTTTTATAGTTTACTATTATCCATTCTCGTCATCCAAAATTAATAAATCGTACAATTTTATTAATATAGTTAAAATACCTCATTGCAGCTAACGGCCATCAAAATATCATTCGGTTTTTGGGAATTACTACCGGTAATGGGTAGTTTTTTAAAAATTATTATTGCGGCTGATGCTAAAATTGGATAACATTTATAGATTCAATCTATTTAAACAAGAAATTTAAACATTTTTTTGCGAGTATTTTTTTAGTTTTAGAGTTAGACTGAGATTTAATATTATTATATGAGTATATGTAAATTTTAGTAGGCTTAGTAGTTTAAATAAAAGCTCAAAATTTTGGCATCTGACGCAATTTCTTTATTGTTACCTAAATAAAAATAATATTTATTGAACTTCTATATAATGCTAGATCCAAAAGCGGGTAATTTTATGCTAGTATTGCAATATGCTAATGACGGAAATTTACGCGAGTATTTACAAAGAAGAATAGATAAAGGCATCTTTAAAATTCCATGGGCAGAACTTATTCCAATTTCAGAACAAATTGTGATTGGCCTACAACACTTACATAATCAAGGAATTATCCATGGAGACCTGGTGAGTATTAACTTTTTAAATGATCCTTGATTAATTGTAATTTTATTAATATATTTACTAAATTATTTATATAATTTAGACTTCTAAAAATGTTTTGATTCACAATAACAAGGCCATGATTGCAGATTTTGGGTCTTCATCAAAATTTGAAGATAGCTATTCTATAAGTCAAGGAGAAATAACATACGAATACACCGACCCTCAGCGTTTTATCCAAAGTGAAATGATAAAGCCAACCATCAAATCAGATATTTACAGTCTAGAATTAGTGTTATGGGAACTTACAAGTGGAATTCCTCCGTTTTCACATATCCCTAACAAGTTTTCTTTAGGCTTGCTTATTTATCAAGGGTTTAAAAATAAAATAATTCCTGGTACACCTTCAGACTATGCCACCCTTTGTGATGAATGCTGAAATGTTGACCCAGAAAAGCGCCCAGAACTTGAGAAAATTTTACATGTAATTCGTCAATCTAAAGAAATAACTTGTGTTATTACGAATACAACTCGCTAGTTACATAAAAAAATCATCATCAGCTTATTTATGTAAATTTCCTATCAAAAAAAAAACTATTGTAATTTTAGAGAAGTGCATAATAATTATTATACATATATACATCATATAAAAAACGATCCCATGAACTAGTGATTAGATTTTGATAATTATGGGCTTGTTAGAATCTTCTCATCAAGATGAACATTTTAGTGGTTTTTACGAACTTGTAAATCAAAAGGGTCATACGGCAGATTAGATGGCGCCGTCGATCACCGGGGGG